AGCTGAAAAACAAGGGTTGTCAAACAGGCTCATAGATTGGGGCTATGTTTGATATTTAGAGCAGTAGATGGAGGCTAATGTCTGAATTAATGACTATTACCTGAACTCGAGACTATAGTGTGGAGCTAAATTTTGAGAGGGAAAAATAATTAAAATACCCCAAACTTTGAAGAGGTGTGAGTTAAACATCCCAAACTTGCATATGTAATTTAAATACCCCAAACTTTATATAAATAGTTATTTTAGCACCTGAGTCATGTGTTATTTTTTCTTAAATGTCAATTTTTTGTGTTAATTTCATAATTTAAGACATTCTAGCATTCATGAAGATACAATTAACATTCTAAACTTCCATTATAAAATAAATAGAATTAACTCCACTCTATGTAATTGCAAAGTTTTGATTTGATATTTTAAATTATGCAAGTAACATCATAAATTTACATTTTTGAAAAAAATGATACATGACCATCGTGTTAAAATAACATATTATATAAAGTTTGGGGTATTTAAATTACATATGCAAGTTTGGGATGCTTACCTCACACTTCTTCATAGTTTGAGATATTTTAACTATTTTTCCCATTTTGAAATGATGCATCTCAATTGTTAGTTGAGTGAGGCAAAACTGTTTGACAAAAAACTGAAAATGACCAAATAATATGACCTAGGGGTGGGCCGTGGGCATATCGGTTTTTGGTTCGGTTTTTATTGGTTTCGGTTAGGTTTTTATTGGTTTCGGTTTGGAACGGGTTGGGAGAATTATTACCAAACAAAAACCATACTATTTTTCGGTTTGGTTTAGTTCGGTTTTGTTCAATTTGGTTTAGTTGTTTTTTAATAATATATGAAGGTTTTATTGAATTTCATTAGTTCAGTTCAGTTTTGTTCGGTTTTATCTGTTTTGGTTCAGTTCGGTAGAAGTTCTACCAAACCCAAACCAAATTGCATACGGTTCGGTTTCGTTTCGGTTTACTTTGGTTTGGTACAGTTCGGTTAAACCGGAACCTTATGCCCACCGCTAATATTATGACCTAACGGGATCAAATCAAATCAAATCAAATAAGATCAAATCAAATGACATCATACCAGAAAATTTTAGTTCAATCAATAATAAGTAGTCCTCCATGATCTTAAGAACTCCATATGAGATTACAATAAAAAAACAAGGAGTCCTCCCTGATCCTAATATAATACTAATAAGAGTAGTAAAGATGTTCTTAATTAGACTTTTGTTTTAACTTAAACATATACGAATGCTTTTTAGAGTTCTTTAAAAGTATAATTTTTTTTATCATTTAATAAGTGAAAAGTAATATTTTGAGCATTATTTGTAATGCATATATGGTGTGATATTATGAGTACAAAAATCTATTATAACTTAATTTAAAGTACATATATTCCAAATGTAAAACAAGTATTGGAATTTTAAAATCTTAGTTTGATTCTTTTTGTAAATTTCAAAATTATGAGTAATAAAAGTCTATTATAAATTAACTTAAAGTACATACATTCCAAATGTAAAACAAGTATTGCAATTTTAAAATCTTAGTTTGATTCTTTCTGTAAATTTCAAAATTATGAGTAATAAAAGTCTATTATAAATTAACTTAAAGTACAAATATTCCCAATGCAAAACAAGTATTGCAATTTTAAAAGCTTATTTTTATATTCCCTTTTTAAATTTCAAAATATATTCTAATATTAATAATTTTACGTTAAAGGTCAAAATGGTGTACGCACAATTACGTAAGAATTGACGTGCACTTTGTCATGGTGCGTCAAAATAAATTCAATACTAGCACTAATACGTAGTATAGTGAAGTAGAGTTCGTATCCACAGGGAAAGGAATAATTCTCTTTTTATGAACTAGTAAATAAAAGGGGGGGTTTGGTATTGTTGGAATTTAATTAATTAAATACTAAGATGAAGGACTTATATGAGATTTAATTCAAAGATAAAAAGGACTTGGCATTGCTACTTTCCACTTGTTGATATATTTTAGTCGATCATTGTTATATCTATAACTTATCCCCTCTCGAATACTCAATCGAGGAGTATATCCAATTCATCGAGTGTAGTTATTAACAACGACCGTTCATTAATAACCTTTACTATTAGTCAAGTATAGAACACCGCCATATAACGACTTGATAGTAGCATTTAATCTCTTAACTCCTTGATGAAATCAATTGAGATTGATAACCTCAACACAACGGTTTCGGTTTAACCAACAAAATTAATCCCTCTTAAGTGTATTAACCACGACCGTGCATTAATAAACCGAAGTTACTTACTTGTGAAACCATCAACGATTAACCATCGGTTCGTTGAACGTTTCTAGTAGTAATTAATGTTGAGATGTTAACTAATTGTCATCTTAGCAACACTCCCCAACATTAACATAGAGATAGATTAAGGGAAGAATTAATATTCAAGGAAGAAGATAAAATATGAATAATCCTACTATAACTAATGTCAAGATGTTATCTAATTGTCATCTTAGCAACACTCCCCAACATTAATATATAGAGGAAGAAAATAAATACTACTATAACTAATGTCGAGATGTTAACTAATTGTCATCTTAGCAACACTCCCCAACATTGATATATAGATAGATTAAGAGAATAATTAATATTCAAGGGAAGAAGTTAATAAAATAACTCACAACTTTAATAATCAACAAGCTTCAAGAGCAACACCAAGAAATGGAAGTTTAGCTCCTCATTTGGAGACTAAACATGCTATAAAAATATAAAAGAAATATTATTCTAAACTGAGCTTAAGAGTATGGAAGAAGGAGTGCTTTCATTGTGAAGGAAAAGGGGTGTATTTATAGGTGTTTGGAGGTGGCAGGGTTGTGTACCCGATCGGGTATATAGGGTACCCGATCGGGTATTTTAGGCAGTTTTCCGGAAAATCACTTTTCTAGACATACCCGGTCGGGTATGAGCCAAAAAGTCAAAATCCTGCACGTTCTTTTGTCTCTCCAGATTCTGATTTTGACACCCGAATCAACTCAATACCCGATCGGGTATTGCCTGTACCCGATCGGGTATTGCCTGTACCCGACCGGGTATATGAAATATTTTTTCAATCTTCTTTTTATCTTGTCCCCTTGCACTTTCCTTGATCTTTTGGGGTCCAAACTTGATCCTTTGGATGATCTTGACCTGTTTTAAGCTCAGAATAATCCTAATCTAAACAAATTACATCTATCTAAGAAAATTAACTAATTACACCAAAAGTGTGTAATTTTCCAAACAACAACAAATAAAACTAGTTAAAATAGAAATAATACATAATAAAAATACAACTCTATCACATATTTATCAAAAAGAACTTTTGGAAAAACAGAAATTTAAATAACATTAAGAAATTAAAAAATATGTATCACTTTTCGTACGTTAGAAAGTTAAAAAAAAATGTTTAAGGTTGTTGAAATGTGATGAGAAACGCTTTTAATAAAAGAAATTAAAAAGGGTAAAATTTTCTTACATGCGTTAAGTTTAGTAATTTTAGGGGACCCATAAAGTAATTCTTTAATGCATGACCCATTTGGTAACATGACTGAATCACAGAAATCTATTGCAATTATAAAATTCTGGCTGAAGTGACTGCATTGATTAAATCATTGAAATATTATATTTAAAATGTACTTCGTTAGTAAATTTAAGAAAATGATAAATAAGAAATAGCTAAAATGGTGCCTTACAGTAAATTCAACCATAAAATTACCACACAGTTTTATTTTGACAATTTTTCAATTCAACGCGCAAAGTCAAATCTACATGTCATGGTAAAAAAAGTTGCCTTATAAGTTCAAAAAAAGGTGCCCAACAGGCTCATAGATTAGGGATATGTTTAGCATTTCGAGCTATAGGTGGAGGCTAATGTATGAATTAATGTTTATTGTTTGAACTAGAGACTATTGTCTCGACCTGAATTTTGAAATGTTGCATCTAAACTATTAGTTGAACAATTTAAATCTTTTTGGTAAAAACAGCTGACAAATGTCTAGATAATATGACCGACCAGATCATATCATACCAAATCAAATCAAATCAGATTCGATTATAATAGAAAATTCTGACAAAAAAAATAGTTCAATTAAAAACATTTTTAATCGAGTCCTCCCTAGAATTTAGAACTATATATTAGATTAGAATTCAACAAATCTCTTGAAAGTGTCCACAACTAAAATTTGGAGTTAATTAGCTCATTATGGAGTTAATCACCATACAAGTAGAATTGAGATAGGGATAGAACAGTTAAACTATCTTATTATGGAGTTAATCGTTCATATTTAAAAAATATTTATGAGAATTTTTATTTATCACCATACGTGAGACGATGACACATGATTTGGTACTAAAATATAAAAAGGGACTACAAAAATTATAGTAAGGATCTCAAAAACTAATTCCTTAATTATGATCTAGTTGAGAAAACAAATCTTAAAAGCATTTCAAAATCACGAATATGAATTCTATTCATGTATGAATTTATGCAATGATATCATTTAGCTCTATAAATAAATGTTTCAAAATAGCTCCAAGCCACCAAGTTTGCAATGTTTTATATAAAATTTTTGCCAAAGTACTTGCCAAAAGACTAAAAGGTACCCTGGAAAAGTTGGTCTCTACAAATCAGAGTGCATTTGTACCTGGCAGATCAATCGTAGATAATGTTATGGTGGCTTTTGAATCTATCCATTATCTAAAACAAAAGAGGCAGGGAAAAGATGGTTTCGTTGCTCTTAAATTAGACATGAGCAAAGCTTACGACAGGGTTGAGTGCGGATATCTTGAAGCTGTTATGAAAATTATGGCTTTTGACCAGAAGTGGATAAATTTAATAATGGAGTGCATTGGTTCAGTGGAGTACTATATTCCGTTCGATGGTAATATGGTGGGTCCTATTAAGCCTAAAAGAGGTTTGCGGCAGGGAGACCCACTGTCTCCTTATCTATTTATCCTCGTCACGGAGGGGCTGAGTGCCATGATTCGCAAACAGGAGGGTTTGGGAAATATTGTGGGTATATCAGTTGCGAGAGGGGCGCCTCGAGTGTCACATTTGTTTTTTGCTGACGATAGTTACCTCTTTTTCAGAGCTCGAGATGAGGAATGCCAAACGGTTAAAAATCTTTTGCAATCTTATGAGGAAGTCTCGGGTCAGAAAGTCAATCACCAAAAGTCTTCGGTTCTGTTTAGTCCGAATTTGGGTGGAGATTCCAGAACTCGTGTGAGCAGTTTTTTGGGGGTTAGCAGCGAGGAAACTAATCCGAGATATTTAGGCCTCCAGGCATTGGTAGGTAGAAAGAAGATGGATATTTTGGGCTATTTACTAGAGCGTATTCTGAAGAGAATTCAAAGCTGGAATAACAGGTTCCTTTCAAAGGCGGGTCGTGAAATCATGCTAAAAACAATTATTCAGGCTATGCCAACATACGCGATGAATGTGTTCCTGCTCCCAAAAGAGTTGTGTTCGGAGATAGAGGGCATCATGAATGGCTATTGGTGGCGGGGCTCAGATCTTTCTCGACGGGGTCTACGATGGAAGAGCTGGCAATCCCTTTGTTACCCAAAACAGAAGGGAGGATTGGGATTCCAGTCATTGCGTGAATTTAATATAGCGATGCTTGGGAAAGTAAACAAGCCTGGGGGATTATTAAAAGCCCTGACTCGTTAGTGAGCAGAATTTTTAAAGCAATATATTTTCCTAACTCTACATTTTTGCAGGCTAAATTGGGATGTAATCCCTCATTTGTGTGGAGTAGTTTGATTCAAACTCAGGAGTTAATTGAACGAGGCCTGCGTAAGAAAATAGGGAATGGACAGACGACGTCCGTGTGGAGGGAACGGTGGCTGCCGGGGGTGGGAGATGGCAGGATTCACACACCTCCTCCGGCCGGAATTGCCGACATGAATGTGGCAGCACTTTTATCTGAGAATGGGGAGTGTTGGAATATCCAAAAGATTGAAGCTTTATTCTCGGTGGAAGAGAGGAAGGCCATACTTTCTATTCTGTTAAGTAGAAGGAAGGTTGACGATGGTGTGTGGTGGAATGAGGATTCAAAAGGGGCCTACACTGTCAGGTCCGGGTATAGAACGTTGCGGGGTGAATACGACGCTAACGGTTGGTTAGGTTGGACGAAAATGTGGAATTTGTGTATCCCTCCCAAAATAAAATGTTTCTTTTGGCAGCTTATGTCGGGGGTTTTGCCTACTGCGTCTAACTTGAGAAGGAGAAGAGTCAATATTGATAATGTTTGTAAGCTGTGTGAGGAAGATTCTGAAACGGAAGATCATTTATTCCGGTGTTGCAGAGTTGCTAAAGCGGTGTGGCAGCATCTGGGCATTCGTTTCATGCGACAAGGTGAGTCTTTCAATGCTTGGGTTCAAAGCTATTTTGAAAGTCACGCAACGACAAGGTTTGGAAGCATAAAACAATGTCATGGCAGCAAGTATTGGAGGTTGCGGCTGCTGTTCTTAGGAGCTGGAAGGCTGCACAAGGCAATACTACAGGAAGAATCAAAGTGACGGATGGGCCAACAGGCTGGAAGAAGCCGTCGGTGGGCACAATCAAAGTTAATGTGGATGCGGCCTTGGATTTGGGGCGGGGAAAACGAGCATGGACTTGGGTGGCTAGAAATGAAGAGGGCTGCTTCTTGCAAGGCGGCTGCCAAACAGTTTCGGCGGCTTGGACAGCAGGAATTTCGGAAGCCATAGGTGTTCGGGAATCTTTAGCATTCATAAAAAGTCAGGGATGACCTAGAATTAAATTGGAAACCGATTCTCAGTTGGTTGTCTCCGGATTGATGGATAGAGTTGGTGAGTCGTATTTTGATACGATTATTGAAGATATTAGACATATTCTTCGTAATGAAGCTAGTATTGATGTCATTCACTGCAAGAGGTCCGCGAATGGACTAGCTCACAAATTGGCTAGAGCTGCACTTTCTACGACGGATGGTTATATACAATTTTATTATCCACTTGATTATATTGTATCCCTTCTGGAAAACGAAAAGTTGAATTAATAAAATGTTTAGTTTTCCTTTCAAAAAAACTCAATCTATTGAAAAATAAATTGATCGCTACGAATCACAATATGCAACCTGTTGTTGCCGCCATCACCGTCATTAAAGTAGGAATTACAAAAAACTATATATTCTTTGTTGATCTTAAAAGAAGAGATCGAAGGACTAATCTGCGAAAATCTAAAACCTAAAAAAGCTAATATCTTAAAAAACAAATTGACTTCACCCATTTTTAAATAAACAAATTGCAAACAAATGTAGTTAGTTATGAAAAACAGTAAGCCAAAGGCGGAGTTTAATGGATAAAAATAGGCATTGAAGATTTTATTTTATTTTTTTTTAGGAAAAAAATGGTTGAAAAGATTAATTACATGTGAATACAATTGAGTGTTGTAAAAAATGTTCTTTTCATTAGAAAATATAGATAGCAAACATGTTTAGATAATTAGTTCAAAAATAGGACATAGTCAATAAATTAGAATATGCATTATAAACTAACATTATAATCAATTAAATAAGTGACTTTCCATTAATAAAACTAAAAAGTAAAATCATTTTAACCCGTGCACGGCACGGGTAAAGATACTAGTAGATATATATTGCAATTGGGATCCTCTTCCGCACAGCAAAGTGCATTATCTCAGGGGATCGTCCAATAAGAAAACTGAAGCTTTGAGATGTGGGCCGCGAGATCTCTGGCCGTTGAAGATTTGATCAGATGACTCCTAATGGCCGGGCACCGTGCCTCCTCTAAAGCAAGGCAAAGATTCTAGATCCCATATGCCGGAACTTGGAACATACTTACATACGGGGTACTACATATAATAATATCCAAAATATGTTTTGTACAAATATCCTTTTATACTTTCTTGTTAACAATGAAATTGGTTGAATCAGTTAATAAAGTTGAAATTTAAAAAATTCTGAGTGAAATGATTGGTTCGACTAATTCTAGTATTCTATCAAATCATGGAAAAATTAAAATATATTTTATTAATACAATAATGAAAAAATTATATTCCGCATTAAAATGGCTAAAATGATCTACCACAACTTCAATTAGTTGTGCCAAGAAAGTAACTAACCTTATCTTTTTTATTATTAAATAATTCAATGCACGAAATAAAAAATTTGAAGTTTAATGAAAAGTATGCAAGAAGACCAATAAGCCAAAACACAAAGTATGATTCTATGAATACTGTTAGGTCCCTCAGACTTTGATATAAGCTACAGTTGTAAGTAATAGTTTTGATGATGTCACCCTCCTTTTTTGTTTAGACTTTTTGCTCAAAATTATCTACTCATTGTTTAAATTGTAGTATGCTCCACAATTGGTTAGACAAAAGTACTCACAGTACCATAAACGAAAACAAACAAAAAGATCAGTTGAAAAGAAGAAAGAATACAACGTAAAGTGACAAGATTAAAAATGTACAATTTTATAACAAATAAAATATACTGGAAGTATAAAATGCAATAAGGTAAAATTCTTTTACCTTACAAAGATATTCAAATCCAACCAGTATGTTTTTATTTGTTATAGAATTATCCATGTCACTAGTAAAATTGTGACCAATTTTACATGTACACTTTTTGTATCAAATAAATTGTACTGGGAATAGAAAATGCAATAAGGTAATTTTTATTTACCTTAAAAGGATTTCTTTAATCCTACCAGTACAAGTTATTTAATACAAACAAGGCTAAAGTCACAAAATTACTAAGTCCACTGTAGCTACACACGCACAGTTGTACACAAAGCCAAAACCTATTAGTAGGTGAATAGTGCGGAGAAGGCCTAAGGTATGGGTTTACATATCCTGCTTGCAAATTGATCCAATTGCGTATGAAGAAGATAATCTGCTCCAACACAAGAAGACGAAAGTACAATACTTTGGACGTCAATGATTAAATCCTCTCAACCAACGGAGGAGAATAATCAACCAGAGATGCCTATAAATAAAGGCATAAGCATGAGTTCATATTCAAGCATTTTGAGAGTCTTCAAAACAGAGAAATCATACCAAGCATTCAAAAAGATACCTAGCATAACAGAAAGTGCTCATTTAACTTTGCTCTCTGTTTAGACTCATGCTTCACTAAACTTCCTAGTTAGAACTCTCATTATCATATTCTGGAAGTTTAGTTATTAGTTGGAGGCTAGAAATTCCGTTACATTTGAAAATGTTGTAAACACTTAGAAGGACACTGTTATCTAGTCCTAAGTGTGGTAGTATAGAATAGAGTACCTTTTGATCCCCACTGGATCAATTGAGAAAATCTAAGGACTGAGTAACTTGGAGTGGTGTGTACTCCTTGTGCAACACCTTCAGGTCTGAGCTAGTTGTGTGATAACATCCAGACGGGCACTAAGTCTATTGGGCTTAATACTTTAGTGGAAATCCATCTGAAAGAGGGTGGGACTGGATGTAGGAGGATTACACCACCTCTGAACCAGGATACACTGTGTGTTGATTCATTTTTCAGTCAACAAAGCACACACCAAACACTTCTTAAACTTAGCAGAAACGTGACCAGAAACCTCAGCAGCAGTCCTCTGCCCACTCTTCTGCTCACCTCTCTGCTAAGCTTACTGTTTGTCTATACACTCAGCTAATGACATCTCAATGCTTTAGAAGTCTTCTTCACTCTTCACTGAGATCTCCCTCTTAAAACAGAAGTCTCTAAGCTACTATCACCTTAGAAGTCCAACAGAAGACTTTGTGAGGGATTCTGTTCCAAGGTCAACATAAGACCTCGGGAAGGGTTCTGTCAAGAAGACATCAGAAAATCATTCCAAGGTATTCTGATTGAGACCTTCTATACGAAGCATCTCTGCCACTAAGCACCTTTGTTTCTAAAAATAAGGAACGCTCATCTTACCTCACTCAAACTTCTCCTTGTCCACTTACTAAACAGAAGGTTGTTATATACATAGAGGTCAAGACTTCCGCTGTGGATCCTTAATCTCTCAAAAGGTTACTGATCATCATATCTGGGAGGGAAATTCTTTAAAGTTGAAAAAGCTTTAAAAGTCTATTCACCCCCCTCTAGACTGTTACCTCTATCTGGGACCATCAAATACTTGTGCTCGTAAGAACCCAAAACTGGACTCAGACAAAACCAGGCTCCATGATGGAATTTCTCGTTCAAACTAAAAGTCCCGAGAAATTGGTTGATTGCTTTCCTAAAAATAGCATTTATTCCTTCTGTGGAGGTGGTCACCATTCATGTATGTGCCACATTCCTCCATACGACCATCCTTACTGGGCAACAACATACCCCACTTCATCCTCCCCACAACTTACAAACACAAATGTTTCATCCACTCCTACGTCCTTGCCGAGTTATGAGCCACATAATGAAATGGAAGAGACAATTTCAGAGAAGCTTTCTTACTTGGAAGAGGGACTCATGCAGCCCACAGCCAAAATGCAAAATATATGATGGATAGTCTACCCTGGGGGGTATCTTATCCGAGGGGTTATTGCGGGAATAACTTAGAGAGAAGTCAGAGCAAAGTAGGAGGAGAGAGAGTCGATTTATTAAATGAACTCAGCGTGTGGAGTTGGGATGTGGATGATGTTTTACAAGGAGAAATGGGTTGCTATTTATAGCAGCAATAAATGCGATGAGAGGACACGTGTCAGTAATCCAACGGCCGAAGGGTCACATCAACCGGTTGGCACCGGCAGTGGTACGTTTACCGCATTGAATGCGGTTGGCGGATGTGACGTGGCATTAAATGCGGTGGTTGGCTGTCTCTAAAAGGAATCTCCGATGATTGAGTGTGCTTGGCTGAGGGCTCCTTGTGTTGCCGAGGGCTCCATGTAGCCAAGGATCCTTGTGTAGCCGAAGGCCCTGTGTGACCGGAGGCATGGTTTAGCCGGGGGCTTCTCTGATGCCGAGGGCTCGATAGAACCGAAGGCTCATGTTTTTCGCCGTTTTCTCCCAGTAGCCTCTTATGCGAGAGAAGGCTACCCTGTGAGGTTTGGGGCCTTCGGCCAAGGAGGCCGAAGGCACCCCAGTGCGTATTCTGGGCCACATCGAGGCTTGGGCCGCTGCATTTTGGGCCTGAGTTGTTCCCTGGGCTCAATGAACTTGTGTAGGAGAAGTAGGAGTCTATGGGCCGGGGGTTCCTGGGCCATATACTCCATCAGGAGTCCCTCACTCCTTTTGCCGAAAGGTACTTGAGGGGAAAGGAGTAGATGTGTTGATTCTTCCGGAGGCCCCATCCCTTGGTTGGGCGCCTTTGCTTGAGAATTCGCCTCCTGTTGATTGCCGAAGGCTTCCCTCAGTCCCTCACATGCCGAGGGTTTTCTGAAGGAAGTATAACATTTGTATGAATGTCGGAGCCTCTCCTCAGTCCCTCACATGTCGGGGGTTTTCTGAGGGAGGCGCAAATAATATCTGTATGTGTTGTGATGAAGGCTGTTCCACTATTGTCAGTGACTTTGTGGAAAATTGCTGAAATTTAGCTTTGCCGAAGGGTGTAATGGTGTATGCACCCGAGGGTTACATGCGTTACTCGTGGGAATTTTTGTTTTTAGTCATGTGTGATTCCCGAGGGGTGTATTCCAGTCCCCCACTCCTTTAGGCCGAAGGCGAGTTCGGGCTGAAGGGGTTATGACGTGTTGATGAGCTACCGAGGGGTGGTAACATCGATGAGCCGAAAGCTTGGTGAATTTCGTTGGTAGAAGGCTGTGGTGAGTGATAGCCGGAGGCTATCATTCGAGGGGACCCCCACTGCTGCCGAAATATAGTCGTTGTAATATAGCCGTTGGGAGAGGGTTCCACGTGGCGCATGGTCGTTGGCAGACGGGGGGCGGGCGCCATCCATTGGTTGAACCGGCGGCCCGTAATGATGGCCTTTTTAAATCGAGGCCCAGTTCTCGAGGCTGAAAGCCTATATATACCCAAGGCGTGAGTCATTCGTCGTTGTGCGATTTTATTGAAGCGAAGCTCTGCCCAAGTTTTTCCTAGAGAGAGAAAGTCGATATCGATCAAACCCAACTTTCCGAGGTCAGT